GAAAAGAGAAGATAGTCGTGGAGAGCTGACTGCAAATCTGAATCGCTGGACGCTGCTAAGATTCGATGAGATCATCGGATTGTAGCCAACCAGAGGTAAGCGCCGCTTTTGTTGCTAGCTGTATGTAAGTACCGTACTTGCTCCTTCGATAGCTAGATATGGTGTTAAAGAGAGAGGAAGGATTGGTTGTAATACTAGTAGTTGGGCTCAATGACCTAATAAGCGAGAAGCGCCATGGTGATTGGTTTTAAAGAGTGAGTTTATTGAATGGCGGTGAGCCACCTTAGCTATGAGCCTGCAGGCTGTCTATTTATCGATCCAAACGCTAACACCCCCAAGAACCAACTAAAAAGTTGCCCCCCTAGCCGTGTTTGAGGCTAGAATTGTGCAACACTTCATTGACACAGCCACCTCTCTGCTACTGCAACTGACTCTCCTACTGAGCCTCAGGAACACCAAAGGATTGAGCCCCAAACAGCACTGCAGTGTGGTGTGGCATAGATATAAATACATAACTGACTCTATCCATCTCTCTCTCATTGATTGTTGAGTGACTCTCCAGTGACTTTCCACAGTTCCTCCTGAATCGAGTACCCTTTACAAATCTTGGCTTGACTATCTGTTGCATTTTGCATCCCTACAACAGATTGAGTACAAGCCTTTGAGACAACACAGTTTCATCCAGTAACACAGCCCATCAACCAACCAACACCCTTGAATCCCCCACCACTGCATCTACTGGCTATAGCGTGACTTCTCCAAGTTTCCCTGAAAGAATCCCTAACAGCCTTTGGCTCTGATACAATCCTCTCCTGCAGGTAGATGGTATACCTGCACCAAACTTGGCCACAGCCTTTGATCCAGTTGCAACAACAACCCAACAAACATTGATATAAACCCTGATTACCAGTGCCCAGTCCATTGCCCCTTCAATACACCCTCCTACATCAATAATCTCGCCACCCCACAAGCAACCTCCATTGCTTGATTTGAAGCAACGACACTACATTCAACACTCCAGGATACAACACTCTTCGAGCCAACCCACCTACCACCCACCATGACTTCCCCATGTCTACGCACTACTTCACTCAAACCCAAGGTCATCCCAGACATTCCACCACTCCCACACTTCACCCAAGCCACCACATCACCATCGCTCCGCAGATTACACAACACCACTCCCCTGATGATCAGCCAACAGCTACTAGAGTATGCAGCCATCTTGAGGATCACAACCTTCCGAATCACACCCTACCCTATCAGGGAGGATGCTTTTGTTCTCACCCTTGAACGGAGGCACGCCTCTATCCTCAAACACACCATCAACCATGCAACATCCCAACTCCCTACAACAAAACTCCAACACCAACAGGATCTCCCCTCCTGCCCCTGGCACCCACCCACTCCCAGGCCCCCTTATCCTCCTTCTATTGACTCAACAACCCGTCGAACAGCCCACAACACTCAAGCAGCCACTGTGCCTCCCTCTTGGGAACCACACACTGCCAGTGTGTCATTTGACCCCCACTTCTGCCTGCTTGTTGGCCTCTAACTAACAATTTTTGTGCATATGGATGGGTTATACCCTGCTCTGGTCAAGCCTGAGGAGTACAACCACCTACGGGCTCTGCTGGCACCTGCACTTGCTTGCCAAGGCACTTGCCACATCTTGGGACCTGATCACCCTGACACACTTACTGGCGAGCACTCTTTTGTCTGGCAATCTAACTGGTCTTCACGGTCCCTATGGTGACAATGGTTTCAATACCGACAAAAATCCTGTGTAAGCCCCTGTAACCCAGGTTTTGCGCTGCAGGTTCCCTATCAATGTGCTCACCCCCTACCCAGGGCATCTGTCTACTTGGTGCTGGCTCCACGTTGGGCCAGTGGATGAGGTTGTCATGTTGATTGGGCAAATAAGTAGATGACGACTCAGCTAGGTGGGGGCTTCCCCACCCATTGCCCGCGTCACAAAAGCCACTCCGTGGCCATAGTTTGTTAAACTAACGAGTATTTTACACCCTCGCATGCTGATGTCGGAAGAACAAAGCTTTACTTAACGATATTACTCAATTTAATTAAAGCAACTGTCGTCGTTTCTCTCTTTTCCCACGTCTCCGTGTTCTCATCCATTGTTTTGTCACTCGTTTTACTCAAAATCCCCAAAAACAGTGGTGAGGAGGCACGATCCGTGCTCATGATCGAATTGTATTTAGAAGAATACTCTCCTTTAAATCTTTGTCTGTTCTTTCTATGTCAGTTTCGAGGCAGCATCGCCAGTACAAATTCTACACAGCCCTACGATGGCACCCTTTCGTTGCAGGAGCCATACATGTGAGCTCATGTGAACATACGAATCCGTGAACTAACGACCCATCCACGACCCATCCACCAAGAAGTGACTATCCTTAAATCCGGAGATGTCTCCGGAAACGTGGTAGCGAGTGCATTATGTAGCTATGATAGTACCGGTACAATACTGGCTCTTTGCCAATGAGAGCTGTTTGATACATGTAGCCTTCATGCCTTTTGGCTTCATTCATTCTTGACCGGTCCTTGACCACGAGTGACTGCTTCTGACTATTAATACATAACTACTGGTACTGGTACTATTAATATCATAGTAACGGTACCGGTATGACCATGAGTGAGCACAGATGACAACACTTCGAATAGTAATTTTCCTATAATAGTAAATGAGTACTCCGAGTGACAGAGGGTCAACAGCACCACAATGTAGCTAGCCAGTTTAGTCTTGGTTTGCTAGTGACTCAATCAAGGAAGAAGGGGAAAAAAACACAAGTCCTCTGCATCAACAGCAAACAGTGTTGTTGTTGTTGCCATCTCCTTGTGATTACTACTAGCTAGTAGTGGTCATACCATCTACCACTACTCCACAAGAAGAAGCTGCTTGATTCAAAGTGCTTCCACTGTAAAAATCAAATTCTGATCTGTACTGTATTGCATACTGTTTGATCAATGTAGTTTCCTGCTGCCCATACCGTTTACGGTTCATCGTGGGAACAATTTACTGTTTACCGTTTACCGTTTACCATTTACCGTTCATACATTGACTTGTTCAAAAGAGGACAATATCTGTGTACGATATACGGTTTACGGTTTTACAAATTAAAGTTGATTTACGATATACGATAAACGGTATCCTCCCTCCTGCAATGTTTCCAAAGAAGCAAGGCACAACCCAAAGCCACAGCAGATAAACGGTAAACGGTAAACAGTACACAAAATAATTGAAACGGTGCACGGTAAACCGTGTTGAATTCTCTTTACAAAAATATCAAAGAGAAAAACTGTGGTAAACGGTATACTGTTTGGGCTGGCCAGATGTGCACATTGTATACCGTATACCGTATCCGCCACCTCATTGGTGATGACTAAATTTTTAGGCAGAAGTGGGTGGGCCTGCTACATTGTGGTGCTGTTGACCCGCTGTCCAAGAGCTCTGTACAAATGTACTACTGTACATGTACATGTAGTGGTAATAACAGCTGTAATAACTATGATTTGACGCTTGTGCTCCAGCGTCTCCCTCTCCGAAAACCGTTACAGTAGCTTACAGTACTGTACGGACGGTACTTGATCATTCCTGCTGCTAGAGTGGGTCATCCGTGGAACGACGTGAAGGATGTCTTACATGTATTTTATTAATACCGGTAATAGTGTCTTCGACAGTCAGGTGCGTTCCTAACCAAACTCCATGTGTGTCCTCCGTGCATACGCGAAACACATTTATTTTCATCGATTTATTTAGGCGTACGTATCAAGATTTCATTCCTATCCATGTGACACACATACGCGGTACGCGAAAGAAACATCACCTCGAAAGAACATGAACCGAATGATTCGATTCGATTCGATTCAGTAATTCGAATCGAATCATCGAATCGAATCAGTCAGAGATAACAGGATTGAAGCTACTAGGTACCGTACGGTCGTACTAGCTAGCTAGCTACCAACAGACCAATCTCGACAACCAAGAAGGCTAACAAGCTTCCAATAGTAGTAGATAGGTTAATGGCTTGGTTTGGCTTGTTAACCTTCTTGGTTGTCGAGATTGGTCTGTTGGTAGCCGCTGCTACCGGTACAGTACCGGTACCGAATTCGAAAAGATAAAGCAGGAAAAGATAACAGAACTTGCTTATTAGAGTTGAGGATTTGTGGGCGTGACTGAGTTCGGCCGGCTCAAGCGTTTTGATTGGTCCTACGCGAACTCTTTTTCCCTCATAATTTCGGTACGGCGAATTGAGAATGCAAAATTGCAGATACGGCGTACCGAAATTAATGGGCAAAAAGAGGGAAAGCCAGCCGACTTTAACAGTTATCTTGATTTCGCGTATGCACGGAGGAATAAAGAGGTCAAAATGACTGGTTAGGAATGGTTCTCACTCCCATGCAAGACCTTTATTATAATAGTACTGAGCGCTGCCGGGTTCCTCTCGAAAACCGCAAAACTGCGCAGAGCTGGCGGCTGGCGGCACAAGGTCCGGTGTACTGTACTAGCTAGCTAGTAGTAGGAAAAGTAAGAACAAAAAACAGATCGAAACCACAAATCTATCCGCTTCTCTCTATGCATACTAGTAGCTCTCCTCTCCCATCAAAAGGACAACAACATGAACTCCATGGAAAACAACTCTATATCTGATCCCCGGCTTTCATTCTCGACACTCACCGATGTGATCACCTATTATGTCAAGGAAAACCCAAATCACCCAGTTCACACCTGGCTCAATGGAGATGGCAAGGAAGTCAACCAAGTCACGTACAAGCAACTTGATGAAGCCTCCACAGCTGTTGCTGTCATGCTCCTAAAGAAGGGATGCAAGAAAGGTGATCGTGTCATGATTGCATATCCCTTTGGCCTCGAGTTCATCAGCCTGGCGAACTACTGGCGCAATCAGAGCCCAGCTCGTTCCCTGTTCGATCTACCCACCAAACCCAAAGCAACTCAAAACGGAACTAGCCAAGTTCAAGCGTTTTGCCGAAGATGCCGGAGCCAAGTATGCCCTAACAACGGGCAAGTTTGCCATCATCATGAGGGCTGCAAGTTTTGTGGCCAAAAGTGGCGTTAAGTGGTTAGCCACTGACAATCTTGACACGCCTTCTATGAAGGAACGTAAGAAGCTGGAAGGCCACAACAACAAACACCCTGTCGATACGGAACACGTTGCTTTTGTGCAGTACACTAGTGGATCGACTGGATTCCCGAAGGTGAGTACATGCCCTTGGAAAGAATCGGCCAGGGCGTAGTAGAGTGCCTGATATCTAACCACTGCAACTCGTTGCTTGCTCCTGCAGGGTGTGGCTCTATCCCACAGAGCTGTGCTGGAGAATTGCCGTCGCGTCACCGAGACATGCAAGGCGGACCTCTCCAAGGTGGCTGTTATCTGGCTGCCTCAGTATCATGTAAGTTTCTGCGTGTTGATTTGCTTTCCAGAAGTGTTAGTATGTCCTAAACTACTGTCGCGTATGACTCCAGGACATGGGACTGGTGGGAGGCTACCTGACATGCTTTTACTCAGGTTGTGCCTTGAAGGCGACGAGTCCCCTGAACTTCCTTTCAAGGCCCTTGTTGTGGAATGAAATGATAACGAAGTACAAGGCAAATGTTGCAGCCAGCCCAAACTTTGGGTGTGCCCTCCTCATGAGGCGGCTTCAGCAGGCCAAAGGAGTGACTGCAGACTGGAGTTGTGTTGACCGGATCATTCTAGGTGCCGAGCCCCTCACAAAGGAGGTTGTCACTGGACTGCAGAAAGATCTGAACATGCGGCCAGAAGCGATCAGCAATGTATTTGGCCTAGCGGAGTGTGGAGTCTGGATTACCGGATCCGTTGCCAATTTGAACACAATGGTTGATGAAACTCACATCAACTGTGGACCTGCCAAGTTCCCCATGGAAAGCAGGTCGCCAAATGTCCAGACAAAAG